AACATTTACTCAAGTAGTTTGAGGTACTTAACCTGAGGATTTGATACTTCTACTTCACTGTATTTCAAGGGGAAATTCAGCGATATTATGATTTATTACTTATATTTATGAGTTACTTTTCAAAAGATTGTACATGCAAAACATGTGGTCATCTTATAAACTTTATGACTAATACTATATAATAACACACTATATAACATATAGTAGCTAAAATTGACTCTGTGTACACATTAATGAATCAGTGATAATTATATAATAATAGCACTCTAACAATAACAATAACACTCTAAAAGGAAGAGTTCTTTTACTTTTTATTCTTTCAGTTCATACTTATGTAAGAATTATTTGGTATTTAGGACTAATTAAAGAGTATTTACACACTGATGCTGCTGTTTTCTACTTAAATAAGGGTCTGGATGTTTCTTTCTGCCACAGTTTTTTCCTCCCTGAGAACATTTTGTTGACTGTAGTCACAAATCAAGTCATTTTGTCAGCTAACATATTGCATTTTTTATTCTTTTTTCCAAACGTTATCTAGAAAGTCACATTTTTATTAGATATTATCATTATGTAAGGCCTCTTCTTACCTCATACAGGTTTGATCACATGCTAACCCAGTTAAATGAGGCTGAAATAATTATTCCCACAGCTCAAATCCCTTAACGGCATGTTGTTGCCAGAGGTACACACTCACACATGACATAAAAGGACCAGGTTATGGTACTTTAAGTGATTGCTTCACTGATTTCCAACCTTAACTGAATGCATCCATCACTGTGGGGCCAGCATTCGCTATAAATCTATCAAGCCCATATTGTTCATATAACATTAATCAGTAGGGATAGACAGGTGCATATATAAGATCTTAAGAGATAACATTAAACATTGATGATGGAATCCTTTAGCACTGACAGATTTGTCCAGGAAAAGAAACCATCTAATGAAATGAAATCAAAGCCGAATCACTTACCAAATCTCTCTTAGTCGCTGGAGTCCTTCAGGTGCTGTAAAGTGCTGGTGTGTAACTCGTTCCTGACACCTGAGACACAGGTGCACCAGTAAACCACTGAAGGGTGTGTTGTCTTGTGATGATGACATGAATGATGATGGCTGACTCCCACGTGCTGCACAAAAGGGGGCAGGACAAGGTTGGCTCTTCTGCTTAAGGTGTGCACTGCAAATGGTTTGATTGTGTGTGTGTGTGTGTGTGGGATGGAGTCATTGTGTACATTTACTCTCATCTTTTCTTTAGATCAATACCAATGAGAAAGAGAGCCATGAACGCGAAAGAAAGAGACAGAAAGTATAAAGTTACATCTGATTCATGTTGAGTAGGTTAAACCCTCCACCCCCTGTTGATGTATAGCCCATATAAGCTTCTAGCTTTGTCTTGGCTCTGTACCACTTAGACAGCAGCCATACAAGTCCCAAATGTGCAGAAAAATAACATAAAGGTAACATTAATAGGGATTTATTTTGAATTTTAAACAGCTGGTCAAGGCAATTCAAACAAAGCTTGTACCACACCCAAATCAGGTATTATGTGTAGACACCAGAATAAGGTTTGAAAGGTAAGAAAGAGATCTCTTTTAATCCTTTCAAAGTTATAAGTTTCTCTAATATGTGTCATAATTTATTCCAGGATTGTCTGACATTTGGTTAAATGCCTTAAAATAAGAAACAACAAGCAAAAAATCATCATAAAATCAAAATGTGGACAGTAAACAGCACAGTGACAGCGTCTAAACACAAGCTGAGAACTGTGAGACTTTGATATGCACACACACACACACACACACACACACACACACACATACCAGTGCATGTACACACAGATCAAGTTGAACTGGTTTGTTAATCAGAGGCAAAACTGAAGTCATTATTATAGAAAGCCATTCATTCAGTATAAAGGTTGACAAAGTGCAAACACACTTCCAGCAATTTATTATAAATGAATAACAATCAAATTCAAATAAACTTAAGTTTACTCATAATCAGATAAAGGAGAAGTGTAAATCCCAGCATGCTCACAACAAGAGTCATATATATGTGTGTGTGTGTGTGTGTGTGTGTGAAATGTATACATGTTGAGTGTTTTTATGTTTGACATGTTGGGAAATACACTGACAGAGAGTTAGATGAGAAGATTGATACCACTGTTTGTGTGCTAAATATGATGCTACTGCTAGCAGCCAATTAGCTTAACATAAACCCACTGCAATGTATGGTAACACCTGCTTAGCACCAAACAGCAGACAAAGTTAGCAACCAGCTGATGAACATAGTGGAGTATTAAGCTGCTAAAGAGACGGATATTTTATATATTTTAGAGTTGGTGGAGACCAAAACAGAGCTAATAGAAGAGTAGGTGTTGGATTTACTTTCATCAGGTAGCCAGAAACAAGACTGGTTGTGTAAGCTTGAAATGATTTACTGATACGTTGGCAATATCAACTTTAATTAAGTTCCTGAAGTGTCAGTGTTGTGTTTACAGTTTGCTGCACTGTTGCCACGTGGCTAAAAAATAACACTTTGCAATATTAGGAGATTATTTAACTTAAGATTTATTAAAAAAATAATGTACTGATGATGGGCAGTGTGATTATACTATTATTTTATAATAACCTTGTTTCAAGAAACTGACTATCTACCTTAATGTTTATAGAAACTCTTGAGATGAAACATGTGACTAAATGACTCAGTGTTTTCTTCGCAGTGTTTTCCTCAGTGGCTGCTCAGCTCTCTGCATCATATGACAGTTCCCTCGACTGCCTCCTCCGACTCTACATGCTCGTGATTAATCCCCAGCTTCTTCTCATTGCTCCAGAGTCATTGAATTTACAGTTCCTTTTGTTGTTGTTCTGGCCGCCTGCCTGTGAGTGATTGACCTCATATATATATATACTCGTATACAGTGCTATAATAATTAATGTAATAATGAACATGTCACACGTACTTTTAGTTTTTGGCTTTTATAAACCAAAACAATATTTAAAAGGTTACATGTGGAGTTTATTCACAAAGTTAAATGCATTCAGACAAAGGAATATCTTTCCAATGTACTTCATAAAGTTGGGGGACTCACAAGAGACTTTACATTTTTTTTAAAAGGTGCTAACTGACGTGTTATAGGTCGAGATTTAATTACTTTTAGTCCAAAGTGTGGGTGAAGCTTCAATAACACCAGATTTTTATGAACAGAGTCGGTTCAACTCAACAGTAGCTTCTTTCCACATGCCATAAGACTGCTGAACACTGTATAACCATCCCCCCCCCCCCACACACAC